TAGAATTTTTGAAGGTCAATGGTAGTTAGTTTTTTTTGGCCCTAGAATAGAATAGAATTATTTTGTAATATTATAAATGTCTTTACTGTCACTTGTGATCAATTTAATGCATCCTTGCTGAATTCTTAATTTCAGTCTTATTGTCCCCAAACTTTTGAATAGTAGTGTACAGTTTGGAAGGTTTTATTTTTATATTGCATGTTCGGTTGCCCACAGAGAGAACAGATGTATGCCGCGCAGGAAATGTTCAAGACTGCAAACAAAGTTACACGGCCCGAAAAAGCCCTCATCCTGGGCTTCATGGCAGGATCTCGAGGTATTCTGGGTTTGATTTTGTCAGATTTTATTTATCTTACTGTTCCTCTATTTTCTAAATGACCCTCCTAATGTTTGTCTGTCCCATCCTCCCAAAAGAAAACCCTTGTCCAGAGCAGGGTGACATCATTCAGATCAAACTGAGCGAGCACACAGAAGTACTGCCTAAAGCGGACGGAACCGGCAGCACCACCATGCTGGTGGACACAGTGTTTGAGATGAACTACTCTACTGGGCAATGGACCCGCCTCAAGAAATACAAACCCATAACCAACGTCTCCTGAGGAGGACTGGGTTAACAAACACACATACTCGGCGCGTTTACATAGACACATATGTATACATTCACACACCCCTCTTCAATGACACTGGAGGAGTGTATTTCATGTACATGTGCTGGAATGTACATATTTATGGGCCAAATTCTGAGGTGTATTGGGAATATGCGCTAGTGAATTTCTAGATGTTGGTTTCAGACAGTTGAAAAGGACTTCCTGTTTGGCTGACCTCATGTCCCATCTCTGTTCCTGCGTTGCCAAAGACAGGGACCTCTTATAAGACAGCTGTTTTCTTGATCTTTTTGTTAATGTTTTTTGTATCGTCTCTCGTTTTTAGGCCCATTTCAGATTTCTTAGTGTCTGGGAAATGAGGCGAAAGGTGGTTTGTGTCTTAACCTACTTTTGATTGACACGTTATTAAGAGGTCTTAAAAGGGTACAAGCATACTATTTTAGTGTCCTACGAATGAAACAAAAAAAAGTCTGTCCATGTGTTTTCACACTGAAAATGTTTAAAGATGTTTTCAAGTTCCTCCTTGGACCGAAAAAAAGATAAAAAACAATAAACAAAGTGTAAAACAGGTTATTTTCTGTTTAGTACTTTTCAAGAATTTTTATTTATTTTTTTTTATAAAGAGGAAATAAATGAAAACATGTCCAGATTTGAATGAGTCGTTTGCTGCAGCCTGAGTGTAAATAATATTATGTTGCACAACCACAGTCACAACTGAATCACTGCCTTTCTAACAACCTACTAGTTCTTGCTAGTTGCTGTTTTTACATTTTATTTCTGTGCAAAAGTCTGAGACACAAAAGTTGAACATATTTTAATGACAAGGGTGGTGATTTTATACGTTTTGAAACAAGTAATCTTTACAATTCAAGTTTTTTGAAGTGGAACAGTGATTATAGGTGACCGTAAAGTTTAATTTAAAGGTTAGACACCAGGACAGAATGAAGAAGATTGAAGAAATCCAACACTCAGTAAAGCTAAGAAAAGTAAGTTTACATACTCAAGTTTATTTAAATTGAATTTATATATAAATTTGATTTATCAGATACTCTGCTTTTTTAAAAAGTTCTGATTGTTCCCCCCACAAATCGGACTAATCAGAAAAACACAGAAAAAGAGAGAGCAGCCAATGTTCAGCTGTTCACAAGTCTGATCCGCTTCATTGCGAGATGTCAGTCTGAGCTGCTGGTGATGGAAAAGAAGCAGAAAGCTGCAGAAACGCAGGCTGAGGAGTTCATTAAAGAGCTGGAGCAGGAAATCACTGAGCTCATTTTTTTATAAAGAGGAAATAAATGAAAACATGTCCAGATTTGAATGAGTCGTTTGCTGCAGCCTGAGTGTAAATAATATTATGTTGCACAACCACAGTCACAACTGAATCACTGCCTTTCTAACAACCTACTAGTTCTTGCTAGTTGCTGTTTTTACATTTTATTTCTGTGCAAAAGTCTGAGACACAAAAGTTGAACATATTTTAATGACAAGGGTGGTGATTTTATACGTTTTGAAACAAGTAATCTTTACAATTCAAGTTTTTTGAAGTGGAACAGTGATTATAGGTGACCGTAAAGTTTAATTTAAAGGTTTTTTAATAATATTTTAAAAATTGTTTTCAAGATTGAGTAAATATATGCCTTAACTTAAAGGTATTTGATGGTTTTATATGATGTTCAATATGCAATAGCACAGCTATGTATTATTTGAATTGAGTGAAAATGTGTTCTGCTCATCTCCCTTTAACTAGTCTTAATGACGGTCTTTTTCAGTACAAGAATACTTTACAGACACCTGTTACACAGTTTCATTTTCATTTGGCTGTAATCAGGTAGGATGCAAATGACTAGTTAGAAAAGCCCTTAAGCATTTTCCTCATGTTCATACTTGTTAATAAATCTGCTTATATAGATCTGCTAAAATTATTATACTTGGAAATCATGTCTAAATACTGACTAAAAAGACTATAGCTTTCTAACCACTTACTTTTCTAAAAGGGATTGTTCACCCAAAAACGCCCCAAAAAATTCTGCCATCATTTACTTGCCCTCATGTCATTCCAAATATCTATGACTTACTTTCTTTTGTGGAACATAGAAGATATTTTAGAAATGCTTTTTGTCCATTCAATGGGCACCAAAACTGTTTGGTTACCAGCATTCTTCAAAATAGCATCTTTTGTGTTTCACAGAAGAAAGTACTACAGGTTTGGAATGACATGAAGGTGAGTGCATGATGACAGAATTTAGATTTTTGGGTGAACTGTCTCTTTAAATAAACTGCAAAGCAGCGTTGGTTGAGATTTGTTTGTTTATTTCTGAGAAACTTGCTTTGTTACATCATGCCTAGATCCAGCATTTCCTTCATCAGTGCTTAAACCACTCCAGGATCGACCCAGCCTCCAAAAGCCTTCTCCAGGTAGAGTGCCACAGCCAAGGGCAGATGGTCTTGAAGCTTCCCAGCCACCACCTGGATACCCAAAGGCAATCGCTCCTTACTCAGACCCAGTGGACACTGTCACCGGCAGGCCTATAACGTTCAGGATCCCTAGAAATGGGTGAAATATATTTTCAAATATATTTTCTTTGCTGCGTTTAAAAGAATCTGCACCTATTTTTATTACACACTCCTGTTACTGATTAGCTTTGCTGCAAATGTATTGATTTTAACATTAAAGTATGTTCCTGTTTGACCACTCTTAATTTATAATAGCTCTTAATCTCTTTAGTAACTTCTCATTGTAATCCACTAAAATGACTACTTAAGCAATTGTTACCAGTGTAACTGAAGTTATATGGAGTGAAAAGGGGATGGTGGTGTTTGGGGCGAGAAGAGGATGAGAGGGGTACAGCAGTACTCTATCTGTCCCCAGCAGATTCTCCATCTCTCTCTGCAGTTCTTCCTTCTGTTTCAGGGTGAACTGAGATTGCTTAGAGCTATGAGAACTGTCCATTAGAGCCAAACCTGAAATCAGCCACAAGGGAAATGCATGTCCAGCAGTAAGTCTCCTCTAGGTTGTTAGTTTGAAAGACGCTTGAAGGACAAGAACAGAACAAGACCCAATTATCCTAATAACAGCAACCAGAGTTAAAACATGACTATTTGCCAAACACTATACAGTATATAGATAAGTTTTAGAGTCAGGATTATTGAATTAAAATGAAAACCATTAAAAAACACATTTTTGTTACTGTAAAATTATTAACGGATTAAAAAATGTAACTTATTTTATTTCAGCTGGATGCCAAGACAAAATGTCTCAGAATCTGATGTACTAAAATAGCTAAAACTAAAACTTTAGAAAACCTAAAAAAAATGACAAAACTATATGATAACTAATAAAAATGGACAATAAAATTACTAAAACTTTAACAAAAATCAAAATAAACAATGAAAATATAAAAATTAAAATTAAAAATAGTGATCAAAGCTTTAACAGTACCTCAATTAAATACTAAAACAATACTGGTTAGAGTTTAGCAATAGCTGCCACAGTGTGTTCAGATCTTCCAAATATCCTCATTATCAGCTCCCAAATAGGCCACACAGAGCCTCCATCTGCCATTAGCTCAACAAAAGGCTGTGGAGGCTGGAATAAACACAAACCCACTCTAATTCTCTGAATGTAACGTTACAGTTGTTGCTGTCATCTCTGCTGCGTGTCAGAGCTCTTTCTGTGAGACTCACCTGGAGCGTCATTTGAGAGTTCCAGGTTTAAAACAACACAAACTGATAGACCCTGTAAAGAAATCTCCAGTATCATTTGTGTCAGAAACACAACAGACCTCTGGAGCTGTTCTGTAGAGATAAGACATGTATGTGTGTGATCTGCACTGTGACGGACAACAACGTTCCTGTAGAGCAGGAGAGTGAAGAGAAGTAGGTAGGAAATACCAAAATGAAAACATTTGAAACATCCCTTAGTATATTTAATCCTTAAGGCATCTTTTTTTTTTTTCAGGATAGCTTTTCAATTATTTTACTTTATTATTTTGTTATGTACGTTAAAGAGCTGGAGCAGGAAATCACTGAGCTCAAGAGGAGAAACACTGGAGCAGCTCTCACACACTGAGGATTTTTATTATTAAATGAGCACATACACTCATTTAATCACATGCATCAAGCTTCAGTGTATTATTTCTTCTTTCTGTCAGGTTGCTCAATCCCAAATGCAAGCTAAACATGTTTAAAAGCAAATTCAATTCATAAATGTGTCTGTATGTAAATGAAGATCTCATCTTTTGTTATCATGAATGTCACAGTGTTGAAGAGGATACAGCAGTATGCAGGTACAGTGTATGGTCCTACTCAATCACATACACTCACTTAAAACACCTTAGATGAACAGTCCACCGCAAAAACGAAAATATATATATATATATATATAGAATAAGAGACCAGCTGATAAAAACATCACAATAATCCACAAGTAATTCACATGACTCCAGTCCATCAGCTAATGTTTAGTGAGGTGAAAAGATGTTTGTAAAAAACAAATTCATCAAGACATTTTTAACGTCAAACCACTGCTTTCTAAAATACAAATCCTCTATCCATAATATTGCTTTCTCCAGTGAAAAAGTCGTTTACACATGAAAACAGTCCAAAACAGTTCTAAACAAATATGTCAGTGGATTTTGATGTGAGAGGACAACAGTGGAAGGACTTTAAAGAGTTATTATGAATTATGGATATTTTGGCCAGAAGCAACAGTAAAGTTAAAATGCCTTAATGATGGATTTGTTTCTTACAAATATTGTGATGTTTTTATCAGCTGTTTGGAATCTCATTCTGACGGCACTCATTCACAAGTGATGTAATGCTAAATTTCAACAAATCTGTTCTGATGAAGAAACAAACTCATCTATATCTCAAGAGATTTGATAAATATATGATTGTCCTGGGAAGAAGGGCTTTTCATATGGGAGGTTTTATTTTGAGGTGCAGGTTAAGGGAAAGCCTCAGTGGAGTTTAGGTGTGAGAATCCTAAACAGGAAGGGGGTGCTCAACCTGTGTCCTGAGAATGGAAATTGGACTTGTGGCAGAGTAATGAAAAAGAGTGTAAAGCTTGTGAGTCTTCCCCTGTCTCTCTCTCCCTGAACTTGAAACTTCAGAAGGTGGGTGTGTTTGTGGATTATGAGGAAGGTCTGGTCTCTTTTTATGATGTGGAGTCCAGGTCTCATATCTCTTTCACCGGTCAGTCTTTCACTGAGAAACTCTATCCAGTTTAAGCCCTTGGACTAATGCAGGTAAAAAATTCAGCACCACTGATCATCTCACCTGTTGATTACAATGAATGAATTTCACCTAAATATTAAGATGAAAATGATTTTTTTTTATAATCATGAATCTGAAATATATATGTGCTTTTGTTTAAAGAATGAAAGTGTGTACATTCTTAATAACAGACTGTACAAATCTACATAATACAGTAAATGTTCAGCATTTTGTAGAAAATTATTTTATGCATGTTTCAAGAAGTATTTACTCAAGCATTTTCGTCCTTTGATCTACTCTGATGTGATACTGACCTGTAAAGAGTCATTCCTGTGATGCACAATTCTTTTCTTACTACCTGAGACAAACAAAAAAATGTTTTAAAAATGGGTACTTCATCCATGATGAAATACCTTTCATTTATTTAAACAAGTTCAAAATGCATTCAAAATCTGTAACACATATATGACTGTAAAACGTAGGTCAGTTATTTACTTAAATCTAGATAAATATTCACAATGAAATGTGTGGACAAAGCCCAAGCACTGTTCTGCATGAGACAGAGAGCAGGGCCAATATCTCCATGAGTTCAATCACTCTTTATTCCTGGTGATCATCATTTTCATAATTATTAGAACATAATTTTCAGTTGCTTTTCAAATACATATAGAATCGCATATAACACATACTTATTTTAAGTAAAAATGCAAGATTAAGAAAGTGTGGATCCCTCTAGTACAGGGGTGCCCAAACTCGGTCCTGGAGGGCCGGTGTCCTGCAGAGTTTAGCTCCAACTTGCCTCAACACACCTGACGAGAAGTTTCTAGTATGCCTAGTAAGAGCTTGATTAGCTGGTTTAGGTGTGTTTAATTGGGGTTGGAGCTAAACTCTTCAGGACACCGGCCCTCCAGGACCGAGTTTGGACACCCCTGCTCTAGTATATCCCTCAGATCTATCAGGGCCATCTTAATTTTAGGAAATTTTGCTCTTTAGTCTTGTGCCACTAGATGGCAGCATAAAGTAACAAGAGCGGTTTCTTTATGGCATACAACACACGTGCACACACACGAAACACACGCCTTCATGTTCTGCTGCATGCAACTCTACACCCATTAACGGCAACAAGAGCAATTTAACGAGCTCTGTGCGCTCGAGCATTGACTCATTTATTCAAGAGGCCAGATGCGTGCTTTTTTTACCGTGAGATATTATATTCTTGCACCATAAAATTCAGCTCACAACTTTCAAGAGTCAGAAGGTCATATTATGACGAAGCTAAAGAGTGACTAAAAACATGTTTTTTAATTCAATATTTTAATACATATTTCATGCATTATATTATACTATTATTTATCCACAAAAGGGCGTCACACATTTGACAAACTTAAAAAAAAAAAACTGAAGGGCGTCCAATACTATCATCAAAACAAAAGCACTTTTAAGACTCATAAATATCTTAAGTGACGGTCTTGCTCAATAATTCATACATCATAGATTTGATGTCTTCGTATAAAGTTTCTCACAGCACTGTAGGCCAGTTTGTCGTAGATTATCAACAAAGCCTTCTAAAAATAATACACATTACTGAAATGGCTACAGAATTATGCTGTTTAATGTTGCACTGCAACATTATAATCTCCGGTAGGCTATGTGTTTTTTTTATCAAATGATAACAACAAGACACGATAAAAAAAAAAAAAAGGTTATATATATAAACAATTATAAATAGCACAGTGACCTTAATTTCGGCAAAATATAAAATATTGGAAAACCCCTTATCAATTAGTTAGTACAGTACAGTTAGACAGTACAATGCTGGAGTGCTTGATTGCAATCATTTTCGGGCTGTATAGGGCTGCGACAAAACATTACTGGTACCCTCTCATTCATTACTATGTATCATAGATTTGCAAATTACAAATAGGCATATATCACAAAAGACCTTAGCGTTATTGAAGTTTATATCTAGTTGTGATAGTAGCGCCGATATTTGCGTTGTCGAGACGATCCTCGACAGGCTGAGCTTAATGCATTTAATAATTTAGGAATTTAATAATTTAGTCGTTTAAAATCATTTTTAAAAAGTCTATTTTTTCTTCCAAATGTTTACAAATAACATTCGCACAAGTGACCTTAATTTCGGCAAAATATAAAATATTGGAAAACCCCTTATCAATTAGTTAGTACAGTACAGTTAGACAGTACAATGCTGGAGTGCTTGATTGCAATCATTTTCGGGCTGTATAGGGCTGCGACAAAACATTACTGGTACCCTCTCATTCATTACTATGTATCATAGATTTGCAAATTACAAATAGGCATATATCACAAAAGAAATCTTCCAAATGTTTAGAAATAACATTCGCACAACTAATATAATTTGCACAACCGACGGGGATTTGGGCTAAAAGTATGGGGGGCGTGGCGCCCCTGTTTGCTACGCAGCAGCACCACATGAGCTTCGCCTCATCTGTCAAACCAGCAGCTTGACTGCGCCCCCCATCCCACCCCGCAGGTGAGCCGCCGCCGCCGGACCCGCCCAGGTGAGTCGCTTCCAATAAGAACTCAAACTCAGCCTGCACACATTTCCTGCGACTTGCACACACAGACGCCAGCAGCCAGGGACTCCCCTTTTAGTCGCTTTCAAAATGAAACACGAGGAGAACTGAGCAAACGCTTCCATCATTTTAGGATATTTACAACGGCCTGAGAACTGGAAGGTGGGGAAACGAGGACTCGATAATTTATACCTGTAGAGCAGCGCAGGTAAGCATCACGATAAACGACATGGTGGCCAAATTATGATATTGATTGTAACAACCTTAATTTAGATGATACATAACATTATAAAATGTGTTTTAGAGAGGCCACGACCGCTCGTATCGCCTCACTTCCAATTCATCATCCGCAGTCCGACTGTAGCGGAAGATGCCGCCGTACACTATCTTTTACACTAGTTCAACTTAACTAAAACGTGTTCACCGCAAGTCTCGCTCTTGCAAAAGCAGATGGTGATCAGAGGATTTAAATGTAACTGTTACTGAGATCGATTCTCCATTTCTTATTTGAAACAGGAATGTGATGCGTTACTGAAAATGAGGCCAGACATCAGTATGGAGGAAGCGACGCACGAGCCCTGAAGATCGGTCACGCGCCGGACGCGCACCGGGGATTGCGCGTAGCCCTTCTTAACTTGATCGAAAGGCTGAGCCGCTCTTTTTTCTTGTCAAACAATTACAGGGACCTTGAAACTGCAGTGTTGCGTGAGCGTCAGAAATATGTAAACGCTCGTGGTGGAATTTAAGAGTGCGCGAGATAATGTCATCCGGGACCATCGTTATGGATCAAGATGACTTGGACCCGGAGGCTTCGGATTCTTTTTTGCACGGGATTCACGGAGCGCACCGGCCCAGGCCGTCCTCTTACCGGGCGCTGCGCAGCGCAGTGTCCAGCCTGGCACGAATAGATGACTTTATCTGCGAGAAAATCGGCTCAGGTTTCTTCTCAGAGGTGTTCAAGGTAAATATGTAATTATGTAATTTATGTCATTGCGTTTGTTTGTGTTTTTTACACACTGCACGTGCTGCATTTCCAGCACAATGTGTATATAGAGGAACACTACATGTAAACAAATGCGTAATTCTATTTCATAGATATCCTAATATATTGAATAAAACACAAATTTATAGGATGGAATTCATTAGTTCTCAGTTTTACAAATCATTTAACATAAGAGTAAAGTTTAAAACACTTTCACTATTTTAGTTTAAGCAGATGTCATTTTTGCCTTTTTACTTTCCACCCTCTTAGTCTATATAAATATTAATAGCTGTAATATTTTCTAATATCAAAAGCAAGTTTTTGAATCAAATACTAATGCATTTATTTTATTAGTTGGCTTGTCTCACTTTACATTATTATCTTGTTTAATACAATTTGTAATACAACCAAAATCTGAATTATATTATCTAAAGTTGATTAAAAATATCTAAACTCATTTTATTGATATCCTAAGGCTAGCCTAATCCCTCAATGAAGAATGGCTATGTTCTGCTCTTTATTTCCATTCTGTTACGTTCCATCCTGTTCATCCTGTTAATTTTCTTGGCATTTGTAAATTGTTTTGCTTTAAGTGCCTAAGCCTGAGCAGATCATATTTCTGCTATGCACCTGTATATAAATATTTTATTAAATGAACATTACAGAGCTCAAAAAGTCCTACATAACAGAACTAATCCTGTTATCGGCTTTGTATATGATATGATTCTATTACTGACTTTGGACAACTAGCCTAAATATCTTTTCACTTCAAGCTGACTTTATGATTGTGTGTCATAATATGCCTCCAGGTTTTGTAGTTCTGCAGATTTATGATCTGTTTTACACTCTCAGAATGATTGATTGGCCAGACCATCAATTTATGAACCTCTTTGCAAAATTCTAATGATAGCAGCAGTCATTCTGGCTGTTCCCTTCCTGTTAGAGAAAAGGGGTCATGACCTGTGTAAGGACAGTAGGTCTGTGTTGGTGTGAAAGTAGATACCCGTTGACAAGGTGCACAGGTGTGCTGGAAACTCTACTCCTGTGTTTGTGTGCGTGCATATGAGACCGAGACCGACAGAGAGAAGAGACCTAATTAGCCATCCCTCTCATAGTTCACCCTGTCACCCAATTTACTGACCAGACACCAAATACGGTAATAACTTCCTGCCGGTTATTACCCGCAAAAATGTCACTGCTGATCAGGTCAATATATATGCAAATGTGCAGTAGATGCAATTTGTTTCTGTTTGTTAAGCAAGGGTTATGAAAGCTTTAAAATATGGCATTTATAATTATGTGCAGTCCAGTTAATAGTCCACAGTTGTGAGGGTAATTTTTGTTTTTAACAGATTCTTTACATGAATGGCCAAGATCCTTCAGGTACTGTTTTTATTTTTTAAAGACTTTGCAGTCTGTGTCAATTGTAAGGACTGGACTGAAAAAATTTTCTGTTCGTTCTCTTCTAATTGGTTAGTCAGAAAAACCTCTTTCGTCTGCCTGTTCAGTTAAATATATGAAAACAGGAAACCGCTGTTAACAGGTTAATGTAACATTTCCCATTCAATGACTAGTAAAATAATGGCAACTTACTGTCTGGATAATATTGAACATGGTTCTTCTGAGATATATTCATCTGCAGACCCGCAGCATGGATACTATTGGTTCTTCTTGGAGTACTGCGGCCGCGCTGCGTCTTCTTCTTATGTGACAGGTGTCAGTGTTAAGGCGCAATACTGCCACCTGGGAGGTCAACCAGGTACTGGCGCTGGAGTAGGCTATTTGCGTGTCGTGTTATCATAAGTGTCCACACCGGTATTCGGTATGAACCGGTATACCGCCCAGCACTAGTTCAGATAATAGCTTGGTTGATGTTTCATCAGACCTGAAGTGGGGGGGAAAAAAAGCTCCGCCATTATGTTCTTCTAACTACTCCGGTTCTCTCCCTTTTCTTGCTTATCTTGATAAAATCAGAACAAGTGATGAAAGACGAGGGAATTTTGTTTCTCTTGGGTTGATGCTCACCTCATTGTGGGATCAGCAGGCTCTCTCCTTTTAAGCTGTGCCAAAACAAAGTTGCTATTTATGTGAGATTCCTCTACAAGAATCTGATGGAGGTGGACAGCCAGAATTAAGTCTTGAGGGTTTTTTTTTTTCTATCTGTGCCTTTTTAACTCGCAAATAGAATCATGCAGCATGGTTTAGTATATAATGTACAGTGCCTTTTAATCCGCTTTTAAAAACGCATGAAAGTCATTGCATTAGATAACGAAATATCAAACGAAGTGCCATTTGTTTCAAAGAGAGTTATACATTGCAAAAAATTTCAAGTTTGCAAATAATAAAACATTACGTTTACATTTATGCAGTTTACAGACAATATCCAAAATTCCAAACTTATTGTTTATACAAGGTAAACTTTGTATCCAGTGTTGGGGAAAGTTACTTTTAAAGTAATGCATTGCAATATTGTGTTGCTCCATAAAAAAAGTAACTAAGTGTTACATAGTTACTTTTGGTTTACTTTGTGTCACCTGAGCTTGGCTTATTTATATTTGATAACAAAAGTTATATTTTTGGCAACTGTAAAGGCCACACCAAAAGTTATTTTAATAAGCCACAGCCTGAAGGAAGCTCCTCTGCCTGTGCACCTCACTCCCAATTTCTCTCAGCATGGGAGGTGTCAGTGAATAAATGGAAAAAACAAAGTAACTTTTTACTTAGTTATTTGAAAAATGTAATCTGATTATGTAACTTCCGTTACTTGTAATGCGTGACCCCCGACACCGGTTATATCAGTACATGCATTCCCTGAGAATCAAACCTGTGAACTTGTTGCTAGCACTAAACAATGGGATATGCAATAAGAAAAGTGAAGGAAACCTATAGCATAAGTTGTTTTCACATGACACTTGGTGGTGTTAAGCACCCAGACACTGCATTGTCATTCTTCAGATAAGATAATTATATCATCTACAGTGCCCAAAGTTCTTAATGGAGATGTAGGTTCTAATTTTATTAGCTGTACATTTGAGCTTTGTGTTGGGGTCGTTGTATCAAGTGTGCTCATTGAGTCCTAGTGTGTTCCTGAAATACTGTAATAAGTCTGGTGACTGCACACTGATCTGCGTTTGACAAAGAGGTGATGTCACGGTAACACGTCTTGGGTTCCACAATTAGAAAAGACGCTCATCGGTGGGATCTGGTTCCCTCCTTGGTGTCACGCGTTTTAAATGGGCTCACTTCCATTAAATATAGATATGAGGAGTGTGGTTAAAAGTACTCTCTGTACATTGTAGTCCTCTTGTCAGTGTGATTTTGAGTGAGAGGAGAGTTGTGAACTGATCGTTAAAGACGGGTTCTGATTGGTTGGAAAGTTTGAGGTTGTAAACAGTTTGCAAGCTAGTTATGACATGATTTCGAAAGCCTGGATTTACAACACCAAGTCCCCTTTAGTGCTTCCCTATTGCATTCTCTCTCTCCCGCTCTGTCTTTCTATTCTTGTTCCTCAGTGTCTTTTACTAGTCAGGGCATGCATGGATGTCAAGCTCCATTGCTGCCGCAGAGCTCCTGCGCATGTTTGTGTATGCGTTGAGTTTGCGTATGCTTTAAATATGAGTGCAGTCTGAACAATTTGAAGCCTACTGGTGAATACATTTTGATGCATTTTACAGGTGTGTGTTTTTGATATACAGTATTTAAAGCTTTGGTGGCATGGTGATTAAAAATGTCTGCTGCTAACCCAAAAGTTCTAGGTTTAGAAGCTTAGCTCTTGTATTGCTATTGTAAATTTGATTGTCCTTGCAAGAAATGTTTTCACTTTGAATAAAAACTTCACAATATGTGCACATTATAGGTTGCACAATATATCTACCATATTAGTTATTAGCCAATTTTAGACTATATATTGGATGTAAACCATATAATATGTAATATATTGGATGATCCATTGCTCATTTCCCATTAGATTAGCTGAGGTAAAGGTAAAAAGTTAATCTTTTAAAACAACAGTAATTTGACACTGTTAAATGTCATTTTAATTTTCAGCAGATCTTAAAATGAATATACATTTTTTCATACAGTAAATTGTAATGTTGGGATTCATCTATAGCATTTCAAAGTATTGTTCTTTGGTTTTAGTGTTTTATTTGTAATTTATTTGGACAACATATGATAGAATTTTAATAGCTGTTATTTGTCATAACATAAAATATTGACTTATAAATATTTGACAGAATTTTAATATTAGTGAATCCCTATTAAAAAATAACAGCTAAACTGGGTGTAAATGTAGTGCGTGTCTCTTTATGAACGTTATTTGAACGTTATACAAACATACAGGGTGTGTGGTATGAATGTAAAACATAAAGTGCAGGCTCACGGTAAGGATCATTTTATAAGAGATGTAAGCTTTAAAGAATAGAAATGTTTTTTAGTGTCTGATAATTTAGGGCCTGTTAAGTGCTCTATGGGGCGCTTTTAACTGTCTCTGGCAGCGTGCTGTGGTGTGAGAGTGGGTGCTAATGATGCTCTGCTCTGGTAAGGTCTGTCTTAAACCACCTGTCTAAACGGCAATATGAGAAGTATGCTGATGGAAATCAAATTCATCACATACACGCTCATCCAGACTCCTACACCTCTGTTTTTCATACACTCAACAGCATACTGAGTAAGAGCAACCTCAATGCGTGTGTTAGTGTGTGCATTGACAATTTTGTGGGCAACCCCAGTTTAAATCCAGCTTGTGCCATTTTTTTCCCCCCAAACCAATGCCGACCTCTTCTCCCTATCAAAAACAAATGCTGTACAGATCATTTATAGGCAGGCTGCGTGGTTTCTGTCCTCATAGAAATCCATGGAAAGCTCCACAGAATTTTTACACCTGTCATTCACAAAGCTATACACATCCCCCCCACCCATTGTTTGCTTGTTTAAAAAATTAGGTTGATTGGATACTGCTTTCAGCTACCAGGTGTACAGTAACCTCATCTCCATTTTGCATGTTTTACCCTGTTAAAGGAATGGTTTACCCAAAAATGAAAATTTGCTGAAAATTTACTCGCCCGTAAATTATTTTTTTCTTCATCTGAGCAGATTTGGAGAAATTTAGCATTACATCACTTATTCATCAATGGATCCCCTGCAGCGAATGGGTGCCGTCAGAATGAGAGTCTGATAAAAACATCACAATAATCCTCTTGTAGTAAACTACAAGACTCCAGTCCATCAATTAATTTCTTGGGAAGCGAAAAACTGTGTGTTTGTAAGAAACAAATCCATCAAGACATTTTTAGCTTTAACCCTCAAAGACCGAGACAGCCGCCCGTGGCTCAATATAACTATTGTTCTTAAATGTTTAATAACTTTTGAACCGCTAATCCTATCTGAATGCTTTAAAAAGTGTTCACATTTTGACAACATTGATCCGTCAGAAGAAACCAATGCATTTCGTTCCTCTGAGCCAAACAGGAAAGATTGTTGACGCTTAGTCCCACCCCCGTGCCCAGATTGGTTCAAACTGTCCCATATTCAACCAATAAACATAGGTTTTGGTTTTTTGAACCACCATTTAGGATTTTTCATTGTAAATTTGAACAAACGCAAAGTGAAAGTAAAGTCTGTCGTGCGTGCATGAAAACAAACACAAAATAACACATTTGCATAAGAGAACTCTCTGAAAAAGCCCAGAAAGACACACGACTGAGTACTTTGACATAAAACAAACAAAAAAACAAGGATGAAACGGCAGTACATATTGGATAAAGCATTGGAATTTGTCTTCGCGTTGCTAGGCGATGTCCCGGTAAAATCGATTCCGATACAGCCAGCGGCTCGATCCATTTATATTATGTAAATAATTCTTGACTTCAAGTTCTCCTGTTTATAATGATATATGACACTTGATGCTGACTGCTAGAATAGGTCTTAAAAAACAAAGGAAAGTGCAGACATGTCAGGCGCCCCAAAAATGTTCTAGGTCTTTAAGGGTTAACCATTACTTTCAGCCAATATCCTCAAAAGTCCTTTATCCATAATATTGCTTTCTCTGGTGAAATGTCATCACGTCTGAATCAGGAGAGAAATATGCACAGGTCAAGCACCATTTGCAGGTGAAAACAGCCCACAACAGTTCTAAATATATCGGTGGATTTTGATGTGAGAAAACAACAGGGGATGGACTTTTACATTGGAGGAAGCATTATGGATTATGGACTTGTATTTTGGCCAAAAGAGATGGTATAAAGTTAAAACTGCTTGATGGATTTGTTTCTTACAAACATGCAGCTTTTTGCTTTGCTTTTTAATTGACGGACTGGAGACATGTGAATTACTTGTGGATTATTGTGATATTTTTATCAGCTGTTTGGACTCTCCTTCTGATGGCACCCATTCACTGCAGAGGATCCACTGATGAATAAGTGATGTATATTTCTCCAAATATGCTCCTAATTCATCTACATCTTGAATGTTAATTTTCAGCAAAAGTTCATTTATGGGTGAACTATTCCTTTAACCTGTATATGGCTGCATAATTACTTGGTGAATTTAATTTCAGCTACTTGATTAACTTTGTGAAAGTGTTGACTTTCCGTTTAAGTCTGTTAAAAATGATCCGCAATTATGAGTTTGTTGTAAGTATGAGTTTGCCATGAATCGACACCATAAAATATGAAAGCACACAGATGTATACCTTGTATGACTACCTATTGTTGCTCAGGAAAACAAGACTTTATCTCAGTTGCCTAAAGTACATCAACTCTCACTGCACAGATATTTTTTATCACTGGATACTGAAATACGTATAATGTGTGTTTAGGGTGTCTTCTGTATCCCTTAGAATGTGCTGCACCTCAGCACCGTTTACCTTTGATAAAAGCCGTTCACACACACCCTCAAATGTGTGAGCGAACGTACACTCTCCCTCACTCTAGCTGCAGGGCTGAGTTATATCAGATAATTTATGGATTTTAAAGTTTCCTGCTATTGATCTTCATGAGACTCACAAAAGCAGATAATGGTGCTCATTGTTATCATGATATCTTAGCTTGCGCACTTTGGTGCTGCAGGCAAGATCAGCCAGCCAGACAACACGGCACAGGTTTGGGTATCATCAATCAGGCATGGGTTTCTGCTTTTGCTTGATTCGATTGTCTATACAAAAGTAATATGACAATCAAAGATGAAGAATACTCTTGAAGCTTGGATGCAGTTTAAGTGTCCCTAAAGTTTAAGTCCTTTAGGGAAATTCTTGCTCTGGGTTATTTAATTTAGTGCGTGTGTGTGGAAATATCTCTTGTCATCAAGGGAACATGTTCAGACAACATTAAAGTTAGTCAACCGCATACTTTTAATTTATAGTGATAAAATGAAGCACTTTATAATTTATGCTTCATAAATCATCTTTTTTTTTTTGTAGTTGCTATGAACTAAAATATTATGGTGTTTCAAATTTCCTGTGAGGTGTGCTCTGATGAGCCACTCAAACAAATGAAAGATATGAACATGGACGCCATAAGCATCTACAAATTTGCTTATATTTGATTTGTGATGTACAAATAGTACACATCACATTTCATGTGACTAACTTTTTTTTTTTTTTTAATTTAAACTTCAAACTTTTGTTTCTAAATTTGAAATTCCACATTTTCAATATAGACTCCACTGTGTATCAGCATGGGAGGTGTACAGATAATGCAGATAATGTCTCCTGCAGCCAGGGACTTTGAAGTCTGGGATGAATTCGAAGGCTGTGTGTGTGTGTAGCTACTTAACCATATTTTGGGGACAAATTTGTACCCAAAAGTGAGCAAAACCTGACAAAATCGAAAAACCCTGCATTTGGGGATGTCCTCATTTGTAAAACTGGTATAAAAATAAATGCTGCGCTTTATCCATTTGCCCACTGTCATATTCATGTCATTTTCACTGTGTGCTGTATGTAAAATGAGTGTTACCTTGGCTTTATTTGAAAAAATATGATTCCCAATGCCCACAAACTTCCCAGAATACTGAGTGCCCTGTTGGTTACAGTGTTTACTTCCTTTTTAATTATATTTTTATAAAATATTTATTTATTTGTGAAAAATACTTTGTCATCTAAAGTATAAGTATGTTTATTTTACACATTTATATTTTAATCCATTGTCAAATTATTTAAAATTTCTTAAATATTAATTCAAATTAAAAACCAATTATATCGGCTTTATATCGGCTATCGGTCCCCCTGCTTTCCAAGGTATCGGCATCTCCTGTCAAAAAACCAATTTGGTCGTGTGTGTGTGTGAGAAAAGGGCCAGAGATCTCTGTCCAGCTGGCTCAGACATGAATAGACCTCTAAAGTGTCTGTCTGTGACAAGTATTTTCTCTCTCTTTCTCTAAAGGTGCAGCATCGGTCCACGGGGCAGGTGATGGCTCTGAAGATGAACACCATGGCCAGTAACAAAGCCAACATGCTGAAGGAGGTACAGCTGATGAACCGCCTCAGACATCCCAACATACTCAGGTCTGCAGTGCACACATCTATACCCTCTGACAACAGAGCTCGTCAACACTGAATATTAACCATATATGTGCAGTGGTGATGTTGCCAAAATATAACATTAAAGCTATGGTTATATGTGCTTTTTATTTGGGTGTCACTAGAAATTATATTTATATAAAAATTATATATTATACCATAATATATTGTACAGTGTTATGTTTTCACTGCCTTTTAATTATTTTAAACTTTTTTTTTTTTTTACTTCTAGCATTAAACTAGCAACAATAGTTGTTAGATTAAAATGATGCTTCCTCTGATTGGGAAGGAAACACTTGTATGCCATTTCAGAGTAAATACAGAGTAAATAATGTATATTTTTAAAGAAATTAATACTTTTATTCAGCAAAGATGTAGTAAACTGATCAAAAGTGAAAGTAAATACTTTGGCAAAGATCCATTTCAAATAAATGCTGTTCTTTTGAACTTTCTGTTCATCAAAGAATACTGGAAAAACTGTATTACGGTCTATAAAATTCAACATTTGTTTATATAAAAACAAATATTGAAACAAACCTTGCATAATTCATATCTCTTAATTCTTTAGTTTATGATGCAAAATTAAATTGCATAATATTTTTTTCAATAAATATGTAGTAATTAAAAGTTCTGAAATCAATTCAAGCCATTTTGATAACTTTAGACCGACTTGGCCACTGAGTTAGACTGAGGCCCCATTGTGGCAAGCATAATCAAAATACCATTACTACAATCTGTACCATGGTACCACCTCAGTACATGGGTTGTGAGGGTTAGCTATCGGAAATATTACCAGTTCCTGATCTTTGCCTAGAGTCAGGAGAGTTTCCAATCTAGATAAAACTGTATTAAAATTCAACATTTGTTTAATTTGTTTATATAAAAACAAATCTTACATAATTCATATCTCTTAATTCTTTAGTTTGTTATGATGCAAAATTAAATTGCATAATATTTTTTTCAATAAATATGTAGTAATTAAAAGTTCTGAAATCAATTCAAGCCATTTTGATAACTTTAGACCGACTTGGCCACTGAGTTAGACTGAGGCCCCATTGTGGCAAGCATAATCAAAATACCATTACTACAATCTGTACCATGGTACCACCTCAGTACATGGGTTGTGAGGGTTAGCTATCGGAAATATTACCAGTTCCTGATCTTTGCCTAGAGTCAGGAGAGTTTCCAATCTAGATGTTTGTCCATGTTTATGAATTTCCAAGTGTTCATTTGAATAATTCATTAATTTATTTCTAAATTCACATTTAGAAGTTTTTATCCATTCTTGCCTCTAGAATGGAAAGAAAGTTTTGTTTTTTGTTTTGTTTGAAGTCCAGCTAACCTAGAGGACAAAGTCTGTGCTGTTGGGCAATAAACACTACATTGTATGAGAACATGAATATTGATGTCACAGGATGGTGGCTTTTGTCTTGCCTCCATAACTGCAGCCACTGTTTATATAGAGTAAAATATTTAATTGGAACCTGGGGAGTAGAGGAGGGAGCAACACATTATTAACCATGAAATACAAATATATTTATCTTATACAAATCCCCACATGAAAACAGGGGATGTATTTGTTTATATGTGCCAGGGCAAGAAGTCTAGGTCTTTTGTCTGCTTAACCTGCACCAGCTTGTGTGGTCTCATGTGTTTGAATTAAGTGTGCGTGCGTGCGTGTGTGTGTGTGTAAAAGAGAGAGCGAGAGTGTGTTTTTCATGCATGCTTAAGATTGCCTTCAAAATACAGGTGTTCCAGCTCACATTCTTGAGATGGGTCACTCTTGAAGGAACTTGTTAGCGCCTTCTCCTGTTTTTTGTTCTTTTCCAACACCTTTTCTCCTGTTTCTCTGTGTGTGTCCCTTTAGGTTTATGGGAGTGTGTGTACATGAGGGACATCTTCATGCTCTGACAGAGGTAAGTAAGTGAGAGTGCTAATAAAGCATAAAAAACATAACACAGTTGTTGGATAAAATTGTTCAAGATTAAATGGTATTCACTACTGTTCAAAAGATTGGAGTCAGCAGTAAAAAAAATTTTTTTTATGGTTTTGAAGGTTGATGTTCGCTAAGGCTGCATTTATTTGATTAAAAGTACATTAAAAACAGTAATATTTTGAAATAATATTTGAATTAAAAAAGTTTCCAATTTAAAATATTCATATATTAGTTATATTAAAATATATAATTTATTCCTTTGGCAAAGCTGAATTTTTCTGAAAATTCAGCAGCCTTTACTCCAGTCTTCAGTGTCACATGATCCTTCAGGAATCATTCTAATATGTTGATTTATTGAAGAAAAGAAAAAAAAAAAGTCTTATTATTATCAATGATGGAAGCAATAGTTCTGCTGAATATTTTTGAGGAAACCATGATAGATTTTTTTTATCAGGATTCTTTGATTAATAGAAATTTCAAAAGAACTTAATTTATTTGAATTAGAAATCTTTTGTAATGTTGTCTTTTGTAACATTATAAATGTCTTTACTGTCACCTTTTGATCAAGCAAGGTGTATCCTTGCTGAACAGAAGTATTCATTTCTTTAAAAAGTAATCTTCCTGATCCCAAATGTTTGAACAGTTGTGGATCTGTATTTATAGGTAGCATTTCTTTTGCTTTATTTATTACCTGGGTTTATTTTTTCACCGAGCTCAATGCAGAGCATTCTGGGATTGCCTTTTCTGCAATGGATATATGTGATGCTGCCTTAGAATTTGGTTAAAGCAAGATATCTTAGGAGACCCTTTGGAACAGCCATGCTGTCAGGATATACGCTAAATAGTCCCTTCTATATTAATTAATGTACAGAGACAATTATAAAAAAAGACTTTCATTGGTTGACTTGAGGTATAACATGTACACAATTTTAAAACTACTCCTACTTCACCTTTAACATCAGGTGGCTTTATAGAAGATGCCCTTAATGTTTGACATCTGTGTGTGTAGTACATTAATGGCGGTAACCTGGAGCAGCTGTTGAACAGTGACATGTTCCTGTCATGGTCTGTGAGAATTAACCTCAGTCTTGATATTGCCAGAGGACTGCAATACCTCCACAGCAAGGGCATATTTCACAGAGACCTTACGTCAAAGGTACACACAATGGAAGGGCCTTTATAAATAGTAAATGCAAATACACAGTAAGGGCACAAATGTTGCTTTTTGTTTTGTAGAACTGTCTGGTACGCTGGGAGAATCGGAACTGCAGTGCCGTGGTGGGGGACTTTGGCCTGGCAGAGAAAATTCCTGATCACAGGTCAGTAAATTGTATCGTCATAATTCAAGAGATAAGATTAGATGTACTGCATGCTTCCAGAGAGAGAGATGGAAGCAGTCAAGGACTGACTGATGAGCTTCCATTTTTCCATAAAGCACTCGTATCTATAGCTGGAGATTAAACGATTAAGAGCATGTGATGTAGTCAGCACATCTTTAGCTTAGTGCAGCCTCTACACATCCAGCCCAGTCATGTCCGGTTGTTGTTTCGGTAAATGTGTACACAGAGCTACACGTGTAAATGAAATGGATGTTAAATACCTCAGATATGCTTGAGTTATGATGTTGACATTTACCCCTAATGGCCCAAGTATCTGTTCTCACATGATGTGAAGCATGTACTATTGCACTGCAGGCACATGCAGTTAATTTAGACACTTGACTAGAAAAACAATGGATGTCAACAATGGAACAATGTCTCACTGCATGCGTGATGTTTAAGGTAAATGCTGTTCATAAGATTAAAGGCAAATACAATACACCTAAACCAAACTGAGGTGTCACATGACATGACAGTCCAACACATAAGGTGTTAAACTCATAACCATGATGGACACTAAAGTACAAAAACGAATTTCTTCATATTAAAAAATAATTACACATCACAGTTATGATACATTCTAGCTTTTAAATCCTATCATGGCTTCCACATTAATATTAAGCAGCACAACTGTTTTCAGCATTGATAATATAGACGATAGGATCATGTGACACTGAAGACTGGACTAATGGCTGCTAAAAATTCAGCTTTGCCGTCACAGGAATAAATTACATTTTAAAATATATTCTACAGAAAACGGTTATTTTAAATTGTAATAATATTTCATAATATTACCGTTTCACCAGTATGTTCACTTAAATAAATGTAGCCTTGGTAAGCATAAGAGACTTTTTTCAAAAACAAACTCTTTCTCCCCCCAAACTTTTGAACTGTAGTCTACCTATGAAGAGCACTTAGAATAAATTCCATAAATTGGTTTGTCCATATGTTGAAGCCAATAAATATATTCACAAGGGCATAGATGGGTATAAATATTGTACATTATTTTTGCAAGAAATCACTCCCTTGATATTACAGGATTTCCCAGTATTGAGGGTGGTTGGAGGTTTTAATTGTGTAGACAAAGTTACACTCCTGGCAAGTAGATCTATGATACTGTAATTGCGAGTTGTCTTTTACTAAAGAAACAGGAAATGAAGGGAGGAGGTAAATTGACTCTTACCAGCATATCACTTGGAGGTATACAAAATATGAGGGGGGCATGCAAAGCATATTTTAAAGTACATTGGGTAATTTTATAATTTGTGTACATTAAGTTTTGTTTAGTATTACATGGAGCCGGTTACCTTATGGGAGCTGCCATGTTGAGATTCAATTGTAAAAAAAAAAAATTTGCCAGTGCAACATAAAAAAAAATACTACATTGCACCTTTAAGGGGTCACTGTTAATGATATTCCAGTGCTTTTATATTTGAGTGGAAAATTTT